ATATACATATATACATATATATACACATATATATACATATATACATATATATACACATATATATATATATATATATATATATATACATATAATATTTGTACAGTACACAGACATTTGTTGTGAATTGATGTTATATAAATAAATTCAACTGAATTTAATTAGAAGTTATTTTGTTTGTTAGTTGATTAGACTTCATTTCAGTGCATCTTTAAATATAAAGCTTTTGGGATAAAATATGCTACTTGAAATTATTATTATTTTGCATTTAAATAAGAACTATATTGTTTCATACAAGTACCTTTTTTATGGCCTTTTAGAAAAAAAACATGTTTTGGTCAAAATGCAACTGTTAAGCACTTCTCTTTTTAGACCCGTCTTTAGAGGTTTAGCAGCTAAACTTATGGATTGTGATGAGACTCGAATGAATTGTTTCTCCCTCTCATGTCGATTGTGGTTTTTTGTCGACCTCTTACTGACACAGACTAAAACAGCAGTCTGTTATTACTTACAGCTCCAAATGTGATCGTTCATTAAAGCACATAGAGCAATCTGAGCTCAGATTAGCATTTGATAACTTGACAGAAAAATAATCTATTAAAGTTTATTCTCAAATACTTAATTTTCTTCAAAGTGCCGAATGGTTTTGGATTTTTAATTGCTTATGTGTAAACTGACCCTGGTTTTAAAACACTGTACATGTTAAATCAATTTATTATTTATTATCATCCATCCGTTTTCCTTACCTGCTTCCTTCAGTGTCGTGGGGAGCTGGTTTCAATCTTCAGTGGTCATTAGTCTGTTGACATTAATATTTAATATTTTCCTTTCAGACCATGGATAAAGAGTTTAAAAAGTGGATGAAGTGGTATGGGAAGAAACATGGGGAGTACACAGTAAGTGCATTCCTTTGAGCTACTTTCAGTTCTTACTGTGCAGCCTTTAATAAACATTGCACGCTTCCAAGAAAGGCAGGCCATCATATCACTGCCAGTGTGTCTGTTAGTAAAATATTTCATAAATCACAAGACCATTTTTAATATTTTCTTTAAGTGATGTACATCTACAACTCAATGACTTTGGGAGTCATCCTACTTCAATATAGCTGCAAAGCTATGGTAATTGACTTTAGTAAGCACAGATTTGGATGTAACTTAATATATATATATTTTTACAAATATTAAGCTATAATTTAATAGTGTGGTAGTAGCTTAGAGTCATCCCCAACAAATACTTGAAGCTCTACTCTGTACAAAAGCTTTGTGTAGAAATTTGGCTTTAAAGGTTGTGGGTGATATGCATTCCTTTAAGGAAATTTATCGTTTTAAATACTTGTTTTTATATTTTTGGAGGATATGTGTGTGTAGTATGGTCTCTTGTGCACAAATAATCTGCACTTTTACTGTAAATCAACTTGTTGTTGTTGTTGTTGTTTACAGCTAGAGAGAGGCGATTTTCTGTCTGAAGAATGGAAAGAAAGAATTGCCAACACAAGGTGATGTTCTAGACATGGAAGCAGTGACAATGTCTTCATCAGTTCAGTTTACCACAAACAGTATATATAAATAAAAATTGAAATAATCCAGTTACTGAAGTTGTTAATTAGTTTTTACTTTAGTTTTGTTAGACTAAGACAAAGTTTATTCTGGGAAAATCCGTTTGAAAAACCTTTTCTTATCACAGATGTTCAACAATACTAGATCACACAGACCTGGACAAGTTATCAAAGAGCAGGGAAATTATTCAATAAAAAGTTACAATGATTTTTGTGGTTAAACACTGTTAACTCGTTTACAGATTTATTTATTTTTCCTATTTTATTGCCAATAAACAAACAAGAACATATTAATATAAATATACAATAGCTGTACAGTACAGTGACCTTGTTCATCTGAGGAGACAGATAAACTTCATCACTTGTAGAATTTGCACAACTTTGCTTCAGCATTTTTTTTTTTTAACATTTAAACATTTTTCAAACATTTATTGTTTGAATTGAACCGCAGAAACTAAAATGTGTAATTCTCTGTTTTTTTTGTTTTTTTCCAGTATTATTTTTGTGAATAACTTTGCCTTTGGTCCAGAGGTAGATCACCAGCTGAAGGAACGCTTCGCTAACATGAAGGAAGGTTAGTACCTGAAATTAATGTGCTTTTAAATAATTACTTAAACTGTGGGTTGACAGCTATAAACATCCTGAAAGAAACTGTTTTAAAGCACAATTTGGTTAGTTTTTTGGCTTTTATATCAAAATTCAAAAAAAGTGTTTGTAAAAATGAGTGACATAAAGCAAATGGGTCAATATTCTTGAGTAAAGGCTAATATAAGAGGCTGATATAATTTCTTTAGACTTGACATTTTACGAAGTTACTTAAAAAGATCAAATTTAGTTTTGAAATGCGATAAATATTTTCATGGATCATTGCATCTTAAAGTCAGAGTCAGAGTTTCTTTATTGTCATTCGCACCTCATGTGGTACATGTGGTGGAGCGAAATTATGTACACAGGGTCCCAGTTACATCCAACAATAAAATGTATAAGAAAAATGGTAATAACATCTAAGATATGTAGTGTTTAGGTTTATTACTGTTATTACTTCTACTTATAAGTATTGTAAGTTATACTTGTAAACTAAAATGAGTTGCTTTCACTTTAGCTGTTTTTCTTGTCCCTTCTACATTTCAGGGGGAAAAATTGTGTCCTCCAAACCTTTCGCACCTTTAAATTTTAGAATCAACAGTCGAAACTTGAGTGGTAAGTGCTAAAGTAATCAAAAGGAAGGGGCTTCTTATTTATTTTTTTATTTATTTATTGTGGGATTTTTTTTTTTTTTTTTCAGATATTGGAACAATAATGCGCGTGGTGGAACTTTCTCCATTAAGAGGATCTGTATCATGGACTGGAAAGCCGGTTTCTTACTACTTACATACCATAGACCGCACCATAGTAAGCCCTTAATGTCTTATAAAGGTTTATTTATGTCTGCAGCCATTGAAAACGTCAATTGATGGGCTGATCTTAAGAACTTGGTGAAAAGGAGATCTCAACAAATACGGATTATTAAAGCAGGAAAAGCTAAATGTGTTTTCCAGGCAAACAGGCTAAACAGAGAAGCTATCATAATAACTGGTGTTTTTTTTAATGAGTAGTTGCTCCTGAGAGTAAACAGCATGAAGAAACAAACGCTGTCACAGGCTGGGACAAGTCCAAAAGCTAACCCCTGAATTTCAGTAACTGTCTAATGTAATAGGTTGTTAAAAGTGAGGAAAACGTTAATAAAAGTATGCATCCTGGAAAAGTGGTTAAAACTGTTGTGGTAATCTTATTTTTTTCTACCACCTAAATTTGTTGCAGTCATTTAAAATTACGTTTTGTGTGCTGGGTACTAATATTTATATGTTTTGAATAATCAACGGATGTAAACACTGTTATTGTCTGAAATTGAATGGATCTTTGAAAAAGTTATGACAGTATTTATTAACCAAATATCCATTCTGTGTGTGTTTCAGCTTGAAAACTATTTTGCTAGTTTAAAAAATCCTAAACTCAGGGTAAGTCAGTCACATTACTTCATGACTTTTGTCACTATTCGTTTCTATGAAACTGTTAACGTGGTTCATCCTAAATTAGGAGGAGCAAGAGGCAGCTAGACGTCGTCAGCAAAAAGATACAAAGGACAGCAAAAGTAATAGCACCACTCCAACAAAACCTAAGGAGCAACCCAAGGTATGATATGGACTGATTAAAAAAAGCTGTTTCAATCATCAGATCTATCTTGATTAAACTCTATCTGCATTACGTTTGCTTTGCTAGCTAATTCCTTAAGCGCTTTGTCGTGTCTTATTAAGAAATGGACAAGACAAATGCAAATAATTGGGTTTGTGTTTTTTATCTGTATATAACAGCAGGACTCGGGTGGGGAGGACGAGCATCCTAGCTTGGTGACGGTGGTCAAACCACCTGCCAAGCCTCGGAGAACCCGACTGTTGTCCAAAGGTCGCAAGATAAACAATAAGAAACGTGGTCGACCCAAGAAGGCCACCCCTGCTGCTGAGAAGAACAAGAAGAACCAGAGCGCTTTGGATTTACTGCATGCAAAGACTCTTTCTGCAGCACCACCTCAGGGTGAGACCGTTAAAACACAAGAAGACGTTCAATCTATTCTCCTAAATGGAAATATAAAATAAGTTTAAAATATTTGGCTCATGTAACACTTTTTTTGTGTGTGTGTATAGATGCAAACCGGCCAGCGCAGAGTCCCTTTCACCAGCTACCTCTCAAGGTTCAGCACTATACTCCCAGTCAGCTTCTGCTGAGCCCAACTCCTCCTGCTCTGCAGCAGCTGCTTGGTAAGCTAAGAAAGGCAGATTCATGTGTTACACGTCACATTTTATTTACAAAGGGTTTTATTTCCACATCATATTTCCTCTGACATTAAAGCAACTGTCTTAGCCCTCAAGTTATGTTCATGTATCTAAACTAGAATTTTCAGTTTTCAGGTGACGAGTTAGACACAACTAGCACAACACCGCTCACTGCATTTCTTTCCTGTCTCATTGTAACCCTTCGTTTCCAGAAAACATCAAAGTCCAGTACCTCCAGTTTACGGCCTACATGAAGACTCCTCAGTACCGCTCCAACCTGCAGCAACTTTTAGAGCAGGAGAAGGTGATTAGTGAGCAGCTCACATAATTATAACTACGATGGAGGCTTTAGGCACAGTTCAGCAGCATCAAAATCTCTGTTTTTATACCTGGTATTTTAAACCACCTCTTATGTGTCTCCTCTTTCCTTGGTCTTTAGCAAAAGCACAGGGACTTATCAGGGCAGGCGGAGCAGCTGCATTTTGTCTGTCAGTCTCACAAGGACAAGATCAAAGGTCTATTTCAAACCAAACTAGATGAGGTAAAATCAATATTTTTTACAGTCAACATTATTACTTGAAATGTTATAATGATTTCCAGAAAATGAATTGCTTTGTTGTTCCCTTGTTTTGCTCCTTACCTATCGTCACATCCCTCTGCATACTTTTTAATAAATGACTAACCTAATTGTTTTACATTTATTTTATAAAGCAGTGGTAATAATTACTTCCTTTATAAATCTACTGACCATAAAACTGTCTTGCAAAGACTGGGATGAACTGTATTATTGTAAGAAGGAACAGTATTTTGCATATGTAGGACCTATTTATCAAATTAAATTGTTTGCTCAAGACAACAATTCTTGATGATGTTGTATAAATGTTACACCACTCTATTCTGTGATCAAATAAGACTCTTATGTCGACTAAAGAAATAGTAGAAAAACTAACTATAACATGTTACTGCCTGATTTCCAAACCTTCTGTTTAGTTTTTGAACATTTCCCCCACAATGTTTAGGATCAATAGGACCTATAGGCATAAAAACAACTTTTCAAGAATTAAAGTTAAAAATAAAAGTTTAAAGTGATCGTTCCTGAAGAACAACAGCTCTTAGTCGAAGAGAATAAAATATTTGAATACAGGGAAACTAACGTGTCCATGTGTGGGCACAGGGTTTCAGGAGATTTGAAATCATGACACTTTGAGCACTGATGAAAAAAAAAAAGTAAAAAAAAATAAACTTTTTGTTGTTTGAATTATGCTCTAATATGGTCCAGTCTGTCCCATAGCTAAATCTAATAATCAGTTAATACTTTCATTACCTCAGTGTTTGACTTTGGCAATTTCCCGATTATAAAGCTCTCTAAAGTTCTTAGAAATGTTTTTAGCTTATCAAAGATGATGCTCTGAGAAATGTTTCTCCAATTTTAGTTGTTTTTACTGTTGCTTTATTTGATGCAGAATATAAATTTTTCTCCTTCCTAAAGAGATTTAAATAATCAAGTTTTGTTGTATCTAAAAAACGTAATAATTTCATCCAACAGAGCAATTTGCTCCCATACTGCAGGTTTAGTTGTGTTAAGGTTTCTAAAAGTCAGCCTTGGAATATACAAAGGTCAGATCTTCTGTTGGTTCCTGGCTTGGCTTTAGGAGGTAGACATCTTCTCTCTAAAGAGCAGGGTAGGATCAGAAGTAATTTGAGTAATGTCAGCATGAATACTCTACAACTGCAGCAGAATGATGTACTGAGCTATTCTGTGTGTGAACTAATGTAAAACATTGACATTCCTAGCTTGGAGTAAAAGCCTTGACTGTGGAGGACCTTCTTCAGGCCCAGAAGGAGATATCGGCTCACAATCTTCAGCTGAAAGAGCAGACAAAGCAGCTTGAGAGAGACATGGCCTTGCTGAGAGACCACAGCCTACTACTGGTGAGCTCTCGGAGCCTGTTCGGCTTGTTGTAGTTCCTGTCGCCTCTCCGTGTCATGGCGGTGACGTTAACAGGTTTTTAGTGTTAAATATTTTGGGGTTTGTTCTTGGTGGTTCACAGCTGAAGTCTCGGTGTGAGGAGCTGAAGTTAGACTGGGGCTCTTTGTGTCTGGAGAGTTTGTTAAAGGAGAAGCAGGCTCTGCGCCGACAGATTTCTGAGAAACAAAAGCACTGTTTGGAGCTGCAGGTAAACACTGCGCCATTTTCTGGTCGAGTCAACTTTTCCATTGTGTTTTGTTTGTTTGTTCATATTCTGTAGCTTCTATTTTAATACTGTTGCCACATTTCACTTTGTTTTCTCAGAAACATCATATCACCTTACTGAGGTGTAGTTTTTGAAAGACTGGTTAGGCTGCACTAAATGTTGTTTCTTGCCTTGGTGACGGCGCCCCCTGGTGTCTGTTTATAGATCAGCATCGTGGAGCTGGAAACCAGTCAAAGGCAACAGGAACTGCTTCAGCTCAAATCCTACAGTCCCTGTGAGGGCTCCCCGTACAGAAAGAGCCTGGAGTCACGCACTCCCACAGATCTGGACTCTTTGAAGCTCGGCTTGTCCTCAGCACCCATTCTGAATGGTGTTAGCCCAGAGCTGTCTTTCAATGGCACCAGCTCACCATGCTATGACCGGGCAAACGCAAAGGTTGAGTTTTCTCGCTACCTGCACATCTCCCCGGACCATGAGCTTGTGCCTGCCACGACTGATGCACGACAGCGGCAGCAAAGTTCCTCCCATACGCTTCCTGACTACACACGCTTCTCACCAGCCAAGATTGCTTTACGAAGGCACCTTAACCAAGACCCCTCTGCTCACCTACGGGGTCCAGGCCTGACCACACATAGGTTAGTGTGTCCTAAATGCTTTCCATCTTATCAAACTTTTAAACAAATATGGGCTTTAAGTGGACTTTAAAGTGGCATACAAGATGCTGCTGCATGAATTTTTTATTGTTGTTTTAGGGAACTCGGAGGTGTGAACTCTCCACTTGGAGCCAAACTAAACTGCCCTTCTCCCAGTTCATCTGATGCTCTGGGTAATCCTAAAATCTCAGAGAGGGTAAGTTTTTAAAATGTTCTTGTAGTTTTGTGCTTAACTGATGATTTGTCTAAATGCACAAGATTTTTTATTATATTTGGGGGGCTATTTGGTTGTTTTCAGTTTTGTTAGTGCTTGATGCATCAGAGTTTTAGAAACATGTAGAAGGTGCAAATAGATCTTCTAGTTGTTTCAATGAACTTTAGCGTTTCACCAGATCACTAATCCAACACTGGTCAAAGTTGTTTTATCTTTAACATTTTCCATTAGCTCTAATATTCACAATGATTTAAGGCTGCAGAAAGTAGATCATTATACAACAAGACTCTACTTTTTATATAATTTTCACTTATATCCTGCTTTTCCTTTATGTAGAAAATTATAAAAATGACTCAGCTGTTTGTATTTCACAGAAAATATTTCAGTTTGGATTACTAGTGTGTTCAAGTAAAAATACTCAATTGACTTGTATATTTGGTTGCTTAATTAGAGCGCTGGGCTTCTTTTGATGCTACTAAAAATAATATTTGTTTGCAGAAACTGAAACGAGTCAACAACATTTTTCAAGTGCGTTAGACATAACCCAGATGTATGTTGCATGATTAAAAAGACCAGTTCAAATGACGTGTCTTTACAGACCTGTTTGCAAAAAAAAGCATTTTTCTTAATTTACTTCATCGCAGTTTTAGATTTTTTTCTGTTTTATTTAGTCTTTATTATTTTTCCCATACATTGCTGCTGTTATTTACAAAACAAGGGTGAAACACCAAAAGACTTAAAGAATAGTTTACTGAAATATTTTCTTCAACATCCATTACTTTACCGGTGCTGCCCATGATGCAAAACTGATGCACGATACATCAACTCCTTTAATATTTAGAATAGATGGTGAAATCCTGAATGACAAATTGCTTTTAGCTAAAATAAACATAAACTGAACTTGAATATTTCTATTTTGTTTCCTCAGGGTGGTAAGGAGAGGAGTCCAACAGTTCAGGGTGACAGCATCACAAGCCTTCCTATCAGCATCCCTCTGAGCACTGTCCACCCAAGTAAATTACCAGTCAGCATCCCACTGGCCAGTGTGGTGCTGCCTAGTCGTGCTGAGAGACTTGTAAGTTTGCTCATCTTCCTACATTGCAGTAGAGTCAGAGCCTCACATCAGCTTTATTGGATTAGTGCTAATTGATTAATTAAATTTGTTATTGCTGCACAGTAGGTTTGATATATTTGATCTGTGTGAGGTGAGGTCGTGTGTGTGTGTGTGTGTGTGGGTTATTTTCTTAGTGTTGTCTTTATTGTTACATAATTCCTACTTTTGCCATTTCAGAGAAGTACCCCAAGTCCCGTCTCTCAGGCAGGGCAGACCAATGGTGAGGATGGGTCTACAACCACAACACAGATCTTATCTGCTTCACTTCAGATTATTTTATTAGCAATATTTTTAATTGATCTGCTGTTTTAAGTGTCTGTGTCTTTGCTCTTTGTGTTCCTAACTGAACATGAACTGTGGGATCTCTGTAGGATATTCATCAAGCTCAGGGCTAATGAATGGAGGTCCCCACCCTGAGGACCATAATGGTGCTTCTTTATCACCACTGTCACATAACGGTGCTTCTTTGACGGGACCAATGAGCCGGGGGGGTCCCATTCAGAGCCCCTCGCTGAGCACTGGAGGGGTGCTCCAGTATGCCGACGGACCTCCCAGAATCCTTCCAGAAGACGGTGCAGACCGCCAAGGTGGGGAATCAGATGCAGAACAACAAGAACGTGAACTGCCAAGGAGGATGTTCTCTTCTTCCTCCTCTTCATCTTCGTCTTCCTCTTCATCAGGCAGCGTGGCTGCAGGACCTCGCCTCCATCATCACACTGGCAACTCCGCCAAGCAGGGATACCACAATAACCACGTCAACCACCACCAGTCCCCGGGCACGCAGCACACGCCCACACACACGTCTTCGTCACACACGCTCGCCTCTCAGGAGGGGCGCAAGCGAGGCAGAAGGAAGCGCAGCTCTGCAGTTGCTGTCATGCCCAGTGGGTCCCCGAAGAGGAGGTCATTCCCTGGGCTCAGCTCCAATAGCCACTCCTCAGGGTCTCCACTCAACATCAACTCCATGGTGAGTCGTGAGAGCAGCGAGGAACGTTCAGATCTCTGGATCTCAAGGAACCTGTTTCCTTCAGGTTGACTGATTTTAGACAATAGACATTTCTGTGCAAGTTCAGACAGAGTGGAAATTGAAGGTACATTTGTTTTGGTTTGGGTCAGCTGCAAGTCTGTCTCTCTCTCCCCCCCCCCCCCCCCCCCCAATTAACAGGTAAACAACATCAACCAGCCTCTGGAGATTGCTGCCATTTCCTCCCCAGAACAATCAGGCCACAGCCCCAGTGTTGCTGACCTAGATCAACCCCCCATCTTGAAGAGAGAGCGCCCTCTGGAGCTCAATGGGACAGGTCGATACTCAACAGCCCCCAGCTCTGATGACGAGGACTCGGGATATCCTGCCGACAGCTCTAGTTCTAGGTAACCAAAAACATGACGTCAACAACTAGTCAGTAAGTTAAGGTGGCTTTACTGGTTCTCCTGCTGGTTTTAATTTGAATTTAGGAATTGTGTCTGCTGTGTTCAAAACAGTTTATTTTTACTGCAAGGATCTAATAAAATATTTAGTTTTAATCTGCATCTTAATCTAGTTTTCTATTTAGTTATTTATATATATATTTTTTTAGAATTGAAAGAAAAATTGCCACTATATCCTTGGAGAGCAGAGACGGTCATGGTAGACTCTGTGATAGTGAACAAGGTAAGAAAAGATAACTGTAAATTAGAAGAAAACACATATTATATTGTCTTGCTGTTCGAGGTCAGCTTTTTATTTATTTATTTATTTATTTATTATTTACTTTTCTTCCCACCAGGCAGAAAATCAAGCAGCAGCAGTGGTAACAGCACAGGAAGTGAGGGTTCCTCGTCCTCCTTGTCCTCTTCCAGTAAATGGAAATCTACCTTTTCACCCATTTCTGATCCTAAGCAACCCAACTCTGACCTGAGACAGGGGGGCTCGCCGTTCAGCATGGGGGGGTCGAGTCGTGGCACTGATTCAGATTCAGACCACAAACAGCAAGGGAGGAAGGGGAGTGATGGGGAGTCTTCCAGCTATATGACTCCCAATCCATTTCTCAGCCAGGAGTTGGGGGGACGAGGTGGAGGCAGCGGCGCCGTTATCGTCCCAGGAACTGGACCAGAACAACGCCTTGCCCTCCAGAAGCAGAAGACGTCACGTGACTGGGAGCTGAAGACCAGCAGCAGCATGGCCAGTCAGAACCTCTTCATTTCTGCTGCTGCCAGTAGTGGAGGAGGCATTCTGAGTGGGAAGGTGGGAGGCAGTCCTGTAGCAGTTTCATCAACCACTGGGTCATCTGTGGGACAGTACCTGGGGTCTCAATTCCCACTCGGAGGGGCTTCAGTCTTACAGTCTTTGTTTGGGGCTCAGACTGGCGTTTCCACTGTGAGCGGGACGTCTCGGCTCGTTAATGGTCACTCGGCCCTCGGAAGCTTCTCCAGCTCTGGTCTAGCAGGGGGAGCAGCAGGAGGTGAGCATCACTGATTAACAGTCGGTTTTTATTTGAAGATCAGTGACCAGGCAGAACGAGGTCTTAGATGTATTCTGGGGTCATTTTGATGAAATGAGTAAAAAAGATGGAGCCAGGTAAGTGGAGGCCCAGTTTTGCTCTCGTCTCGTCTGCCTCACTGGCAGTTTGTCTCCATGACAGATCCTCTGCTGCCTTGCCTCTGACATGGACCGGCTGCTCGAGTGACGCAAACAAAAACACCCTTGGAAAATGATAGATGTCCTACAGTTGAATAGAGAATAAATCCTGGTGGCACATAAACTGGTGGCTGCTTGATTTAGGTTTTTATGTGTTTACGTTATTTTCCCAGGGTGTGTCTGTTGAAGTTGATGTCAGAGTCACTTCACTTTAACGAACATGGTGAATCCTGTTTCACCGTAGCACTTTAACAGTGTTAACACTGTAACAGTGTTAACACTGTTAAAGTGTTAAAAATGTTAACAGTGTTAACAGTGGACTGACACTGTTTGCTTCATGTCTGCTTGTCTGACTTGCTTGGCGCTTTGCACAACCCAGCTCAGTCCTTGTCCCCTCTTTGTCCCCCTCTTCTGGCTCTCTCGCCCTTTCTCTTTGCTGCTGTTGTCTTCCTCTGTCTCCGCTCCTTGGCTCTCCCCCCTTCGTCCATTTCTGCTGTATGCTTTGCAGGTATATTTCACCACGTGGTTCCCTCAGTGTCCTCTCATCAGTTTGGGGCAGCGCTGCCCACCTCTGGAGGCCTCAGCTCTCTGCTCAGTCCCTCCTCCTCTTCCTCTACCTTCTCCCAAACCCAGCAACACTCCACTTCCCAGTCAGCCTCCACACGTCTGACCTCCGTAACCTCATCTCTCCCCCCGTCCCTGTCCCAGGTCCAGCACAGCCGCACACAGTCTGTCCTTCATAGCCCTTCTCCTCCCACACACTCCCTGCCCCCTCCTCCACCTTTGCACAGCGTCTCTTCCTCCTCCTCTGCCTCCACAGCACCTACACTCTCTGACGCCCCGGCATCCTTTCGATCGGAGCCCCTCCTCCCCCCTCGTCTGTCCCCGTCCTCCCTGCACCACCAGAGAGTTCAGTTATGCCTCACCCTGTCCATCTCCTCTTCCTCCACCTCTGCAGCTTCTGTCTCTACCACCGCTGCTGCTTCTGCCTCTCTCTCCTCTTCCTGTCTGTCGACCTCCTCATCGCGTCCATTTGCAGTGCACTACTCCCCTCGGCTGCCCCCTCCACCGCCAGCCAACAGTTCAGGTGGTGGCGGGGGCATGTGGAGGACTCAGGGCATGCATGGTACCTACACCACCTCCCAGCTCCCCGGCTCCCGACCTAGATAGGATATGGGTGTAGGGGTGGGGGAGGGCAGAGGGTGGATAGATGGAGATGGGGAGTGACAGAGGCAGGATGCGTGTATTTCCTGTGTTCCTACGAGCTGTTGTTCTGAATGAACAAGGTAAGAAGATTCTGAAAAGAACAGTTTTTCACTTGTTGCAGGGTTGAACAATAAGTTGTCTCTCTGTCTTTAACTTGTGTGCTGTAAAATCACTGACGTGTTTTTTGTGTATATGTTTACTTTTTTTTTAGGTAATTGATGAAATCTACCTCAAAGTTAAATAAACTATGCAAATGTCCAGGTGTGGACAAAGGCACTCTTCTCATTCACTGGTGCTTCAAACCGTCTGCACTACCCAACCGCCTCCAAGACCGGCTTCTGTACTGGGATATATGAGACGCACGCACACACACGCACACACACACACACACAATCATTCTAGTTTAGCAGGATTTAGTGTTGTCATGTTTGTGTGGTGTAATAATTATTTGAATATTAGTCGGTGAGTCGACTGAAAGAATAGTGTCATTTTTAACGTTAAGGTGCTCTAACATGATTCTGAAGCATTTCTTTATTTAGTCATGATCACAACAAACAACACTCAGCAAATACAAACAAAATGTATCATGAAACGACCGACTGAAGCGCTCGGTGCACCTTTTGGAGCTGAATCATGTCTCACACCTTCCTAAGTTTTGTGTGTGTGATGTGTGTGTGTTCACTGAAACACAACATGGAGGCAGCTCGGCCTCTCTGCATGTTTTTGTCTCTTTTCTTCCCTCGGTGACATTTTATTCTGTTTGTGCATAAAACAAATTGTGGTTTGACTTCACACTGGAAAAGAAGGTGCAGTTAGTCTGGTACCAGAAGATCTTGGCTGGTTAGTTGACACCCCTTGTCATGGTTTTGAGTTTATAGAAATTTTATAATGAACAAAGTTTGAAACTTTGATGAATTGCTGATTTTATTTTATTTTTTTCATTAATTCTAAACTTAAAGACCAGCTGAACAAAACTAGTTTTGTTCTTATTTTTACCCAATGTATGAAATGCTTTCCTGCTCACGTCATAAACAACAAATCTAATTTAGGACAATTGAACAAAAACAGTCTGATGTCGCAGTTTAAACACACTATTTTAAAAGTGGACTCATTAGTTTGTTCTGATTTGCTAACCAAATTAACATTTCCAGGGGTGCCAGTATTACTTGCTAATGTTCTAAATATAGTTTTATCTTAAACTGATCAAAGTTTAATGAAGTTTATTCAGTGAATTTGTGTTCTGTGCCGACAGAACTCAAAGTTTGTGTAACGTTTAGTGAACGGCTGAAAAAGCAAAAAAATTCAACTCATTTTTCTATTTATTAAAACTCTCCTCGTCGTCACACTACTAATCATTTTACAGACGGATTTTTAAACTTGTCTGAAGCTAAACTTTGTTTTATTTATGTTTTGTTGTCAAGAAAAGTAAAAAAAAAAATAAAAAAGATGCAGGTTCAAGTCTTAGGAAACTAAAGTACAGATACGGTCCGACATGCAGAACTTGGCACGCTGGGAAAACTGAATTCACCATAACCACAAAAACAAACTACTGGACTCTCCACGCCTTTTTCTGATTGCTTGTAAACAATGTTCGTACTGTGAATGTGAACCATTCTCTGTATAATAATCCAGATTAATATTATTTATGCTGTCAGTCTTTCCATTTTCCTTTTTGTATTTGTTTTTCACCTTTTATTGGTTTAATTTCTGAATCGTGTTATAGAATGCAATAGCTCGTGTACTTGACTCGCAGTCTGAAAACAGTGGTGCTAACTTTGGACTGTGCCTGATTTTATTTATTCTATAAACACAACATGAAAGAAACCAATCTGAATACTTGGTGCTGTACACAGGGACATTTATCAAGCCGTTTTTTTAGGCATTTTATCATATTTAATACGCTTTGGTTACACTCTTTGCCTGGTGTTCAACTGTAGACCGCATGTTTTGATGAAAACGCTCTCCAGTAGCTGAATAGACGCGAGAGCTTCTGTTGATGTGTCCGTCCGTCTGCTTTGCTCTCCCAAGTGAGCTGCTTATTTGTTGTGAACATGACACACTGTTTTCGTATTTTAAATTTTTTTTTTTTATGTTTCAATCGTACATAAAAGTTATATAAAGTATGTATAAGCAGTACAGCTATATAAGTAAATAAATATATATGTATATAAATATATAAAAAGCAATAGGGGACATTTTGGTGCTCATGTGACCCCTAATTTCAGCCTGTTAAACAGGAGGCTTGAAGCCTAGCAGAGCAAAGCATCGCCACCTCAGGACCTTAATAAGACGGCGCCGAACAACGCTGAACCACCCGAATCCACGTGACGCACACAAACCAGGACTAGAAACTCAGAAGCTCGTGTGTGTGTGTGTTTTACACACACTGGTGCTGTGGCTTGAACACACCGATAATCCAGCACTAGAACTGTTCTCACTCTAATCAGGTGTTGTCAAGTCTAAATTTCTGTCGGTTCAGTTTTACTAACCAGATGTTTTTCTCAAATCGAAATGGTGCTTCTGTTTCCGTGCAACATCCCATCAGTTTTTACAAACTACATCTACTGGTGCATACAAAAAATAAAGTAAAATGTGCTGTGTAATTTGCTAGAGACATGCTGGTGTAAAATACTTGTATGAATAAGAGCAGCCAAGCTTCCTTTTCCCCTTTTTGATGGTGGAAATACTCGTCAGTGTGTGGGCGTTCTCTCCTTCAACTTGCATATCTAAGAAAATATTAGAAAAATATTGAAAAGCTTTATTGTAAAAAAAAAAAAAAAGTCTGTCCTGTGCACTCCCTCTCTGCAAACACAAAAGTTTTCTTTGACCGTGAGTGTTTCTGTGAAGAAAGTCACTTTTGGAGCTGTAGTTAGAAACCGGTCTTTTTGTTACCAGCACTCAGAGGTATTTTGTAATTATCGTCGATGCTGTTAAGATTTTCTTATTCATGGTGTTTTGATGCAACTTGCAGTGAAATGTACCGCTTTTTATTGGTGTCCTGTTTTTAATACTGTTACACAGACGGACAGCACGGTGCTCTCCACTTAAAAAAAAAAAAAGGAAATCACAGCTATAGACTATTAGTACTCTCCTCCTGTTGTGCTGCAGGGTTTTTATTCTTAAAAAAACGTGCTCAGCTCACATCGTGGCTTTTCTGACGGTCCAACCTGACACTTGGAACTCTTTCCTCACCTGAAGGAGCTTTGTGGTGTATGTGCATGTAAGAGCAGTCTGTAGACAATTGATGGATTTTAGTTTTATTGTGCGATTGATCTAAAGCAGGGGTGGGCAACATTTTTTGCCAGAGGGTCAAATCAATGTATTTAAAGCAAATAGTAAATCGATTTTCTTTAAGATAATCTGGAACAAGCTTTATAGTGAAGTTGGCATGCTTGATAAAATGTCTCAATACTCTAGGAATATAAGACATGTTCTTTGTAAACTGGCTCTTGAGACAGTATGTGTGTAAAAAAAAAAAAAAACTACCGTATTTTCCAGAGTATAAGTCGCATCAGTCAAAAAAAGTATTACGACGAGGAAAGAAACATGTAACTTGCTTTGGCGTATAAGTCACATTTATTATGCGTCACCGCTAATCCATCGTGTTTATTATGTGTTATTTAATGGTCAAAACAGCTTTATTTCACCTGGGTGGTGCAGCTCCATCCATCCATCACGGCCGGAGCCACTAGCTCTCCAGCGTTCCTCCTCCTGCACCCGCTGAGTGAAGCGAGCGCGCACGGGAGGACTCGCTGTTGCAGTTCTTCACAATTTAAAGCGTCAGTCAAAAATTGCATCATGAATGAAAAAAATATATATATATGTCTCTTCGGTGTATAATTCACAGGACTGACAAATCTATGCAAAAAACTGACTTGTACACAGGAAAATATGGTACTTGCTTTTTGGAGTCTACGGTTCAGTCTAGTTCTGGAAACTCAACAACGTCAGGAAAACGGTTTTGATGTAGTTGTCCAAAGTGTTTAAGTTTCTTTGATAAAATGCAGGTTTTCATCAACTTATTTAAAAGGTTTCTTTTCAATTAAGAATATTGCGGGCCAGATTGAGATTGTCCAAGGACCACTTTTGGCCCTCGGGTCATACGTTGCCCACGTCTGGTCTAAAGGGTCCTTTGCGGTATTCTTTGATTTTTTTAAAGCTGCACAGTTCTCCATCATGTCACACCTGATAAATTACTTAGTAGATGATTTGTGAGGGCTCTGCAGCCCGTTTACTTTAAATGCTGCCAAGGGTCTTAACTCAGGAACCTTCTGACAAATTTCTATAAACGACTCGCTTTATTTATCAGTGTGGCGTGAAGGAGTCCCTCAAGAAGCCTACTTGGGTTCAGCGAGCATTTTGACCTCCCTCAGATCGGCTCTTACCAGCACATGCATCCAGCCTCTTCAGGGACACGGAGCTTTACAAGTGTCGACTTTCAGCATCTTCCTCATCTCACTAATGCCTCTGTTTCAATACGTCACTAAACAAAAAGGAGGTTTGGCGTCCTTTACCGAAATCCCTTTAACTGGTTGGTGGGGCTACCAGTACAGGACCAATGTGACCTCCGGTTAGTGTGGTGATCTCTGATCAGTGAAGCCAGGGCAGCTTTGAGGTGCAATAATAGCAAACCAACTTTCCAAAACACCTTTCTCTCTCTCTCTCTCTATGGAAAAACAAAACTTGTTACTGTTTGATGTTGGTGCTTTTATCGTAAGATGTTATAACGAAACAAACAGATTTTGTGTTGGTTTTTTTCTGCAATTTGTGTTTAATAAAAATGTTTCATATAATGTAAAGTTTTGTTGCTGTCACTGTTTTATTCTGTAGTTTATTTTATGTAAAGAACATCCTAAATCAGGGGTTCTCAGACTTTTTGGGTTCAGGGTGAGATAAAGTTTCAGCGACCCCCTCATAACTCTCGTGTTTATTAAATGTCTTCAATTTGTCTCTAATGCAGTGGA